TTAGTGATGATCGATTCAGATTCGTGTATTTATAACCTATTTATGCCCGCCATTGTGGAATTCATTTCACTGTGTAAATAGCAGTATTTTTCTTGTTCAGATATTTCTATTAGAAAATATTTATTTTAACAACCACAACAAAAGTAACTTGTCAAAACGTCTGTCAAAGAAACAGTCCTTTCCAACCATCCTTTCTCCTCACCTGCCCTGCTCGGCCACTGAGATGCAGTTAAGGAAGACAGGTCCCTGAAGGGAAAAAAGGGGGAGTCTTGACACCCTCACTGTATTTAGGCTAAATGCAGCTGTCACCCTGTGCCCAGAACAAAGTGGGACTCCCACAGTGAGTGGGCCAGGCCTACCATTAAGGCCCCCTTCAGGCAACCACTTCTTGCATACATGGGTGGTACATTCAACTGTGTGCTTCAACAGCCTGAGCAGAGAAATGAGCCTTAGTTATAGCCCCAAGGTAACCCAAACCCACTTCTGGGATATGAAGAAACCACTGGTTGCCTACAGAAAGCATTATGATGTAGTCCTAGTTCTCATGTTTGTGAATAGTCCCTATCCACACTGTAACTGCAGGAGAGGAGCTTGTTCCCTTCTGCACCTGACAATACTCCAGAGCCCCTCTGCTCTCCTCTCCTCTTCCCCCTGTTGCAGGAAGCATCTGTGCAGGTGTGGGCCAGTCCGTCTGTAATCAGTAGTTACAGAAAGAGACCATCTGTTATAAGATGTGTTCAGTTTTACCTCTCAGGAGCCTTGGTCATGGAATCAATCCACTCTCATCCTGTCATCCCCATCCCCATCCCCGCTCCTGCCCGGTTGGCTGGATGGAGATCTGCAGCTGCAGATCTGCACACAGCTTTGGGACCCCGGGCACACAGGGATTTGTCCTCATCCACTTACACCAGAAATTGCATATTTCCTTATAGCCTGCCTTTGTCTGTCTAAACAAATGAGGTGGCCACTTGAACCGGAATGCTGGAGAATGTTGTTTTTTGCTCCAAGAGACTTTGTAAGCAAGTCTGATTTTAAAGGTGAAATGTGAATGGGTAAATAGGTGCCAGGGAACTTAGCACTGAAGTAGACAGTCAAAACTTTTTTAAAAAATTTTCAGGAAGAAATACATTTTTGCTCTCATTTAAATATTCACCAGAAGTAATGTTGTAAATAGTTTTTAAAGAATATATATATATTTATTATATGTGCTGCATACAGATTCATGTCCTGAGTGATGTTGGTTTACGTTGTAGCGTAGGATCTCTTTCGAGCAGTGGACTTGTTTCATAACAGAGTTCACACATGAGAAAAAACGAGAACCAGCAGGTTGCAAGCTGCTCGGGGTCTTTGATCTGCCCTGTCACATCAATTCCAAGCTTTAACTGCCCCTCACCCCATCTGGTTAGGTTATATACGAGATATAGATATACACATTTGTATGGTATGGTGGTCAGTACCCAGGTCTGCAGAGCACATTCCCAGGTGTTCTTTCTGATGTGTTGCCCATAAGCAATAAGATCCAATGTAATATTTATTCTGGGATCCCCTTGGCTTTTGTCTTAGAGGATGGGCTAGGGGCAGAACAGCTCTTGCTAAAACCTCTTGCCTTTGCTGGAGAGGTTGCTGTACTTGAATTTTTGCTTCTCTGTGTCTGCAGTCATCTTCACGCCATAAACATCCAGCCATGGATCAGAAATCTGCCAGCACTCAACATCAAAAATTGGGCATGTCTTTGGAAAATAAATCAGCATTCCACGAATGTGTGGGATTTCCAGAATCTAGCTGCAGTAAAGCTCAGTTGTCTATAGATGAGTGGAAGTAGCCCACTAATGTTGTAGAGGACATCCAGCCTACCTTTAGCTATTCTGTTTCCTATAAACTGCTCTGTGTCTGGGTTGGAAATGCCTAAAGCCCCTCAGGCCTGGGGTCAAATCTCGTAGGTCAGTATAAAGTGCTTGGTCACGCCCCTGATGCCTCCACCATGGCCCAGCGCAACAGATCTCGAAGCAGTTTTGCACCCTCTCTTTGTGACCATCCTAAACTTTGTGAAAAAGAAATACATCGCACCCAGAGAACCATTAATAGAAGTAATGTAGTTTTCTAGACCTTTGGAATATGTCTTCTCTTTTGTATTTATGATGGTGTTTGGAATTTTTCACTAGTGTTTTCTAGATTGAAATGGATGCATTAGGATAAACTTTCCGTTGCTAAGCCTGAAAAGCAAGCAAGAGGAAAGAAGTTGACCTATGTTGTATCATTGGGGAGGCGACTACTACTTGTGGTGGTGGGAGGTGGGAGGGTGGGCGGGAGCATTCTAGATTCGGTGGGAGGAAAATAGAATTATGGCCTGAGGCTCTCCAAGTTTTACTACCTTGTAATAAATAATTCTCTCCCCCCATTTAGTCTCACTTAATCCCAATAGAAGCCTGTTGTTTACCCTCAGGGAACAAGTAGTTTTCAAAATTGAGCTCCTCCAAGATCATTGGCCAAGGCCTCGGTGCTGGCATTGGCTGTCTTTGTGAACTCACGGCATTATTTCCCGTATGCATGATGATATTAATGAACCACCCAAGCCTGTATGAAAAGCACAGCCCAGGGTCCTCATTGAGGCTTCAGCAGACTTCAGCCTCTGAGGGACCAGGGATCACAGGGGGCCCATGTAATTTAACTTGAAGCTCAGGTGCCTGTGGGATTTGTAGTTTATTTTTTTAGGTGGTGGCCCTTCAGAAGGAGTTGAGGGCGGGGCTGCTGATGCAGCTGTGGATTCAGAGAGCTCTAATATGAATCTACGGTTCCTTTCAAAGTTGTTCCTGGTCCCTCCCCGTGTTGTCATTGCTGAGGTCAATCTCTGTAGTTGTTGAGGTGTGCTCCTTTTTGCTGTCTTGTGAGTGGTAGCCAGTGACCCAGGTGCCCAAGGGCAGGGCCTGTCGCCCGCTCCTGGCTGGTGCCATGCGGGTGTTCCTGACCTAGCATTCCTGAACAGGGAAATGAGGAATTCTGCCCATTAGTGACCTGGAACATCAGTGCATGCCTTTTGGGCCTGGAGTTCCACTACGTTAGTGAGTGTAGGAAAATACGGTGTCTTTAAATGGATGAAAATTCATTGTATGCTGTGAATTTGTTGGTTTGAAACATTGAAAATTTTTCATTAGACAATGTTTACATACCTCACCTGAAGAACCTTTTGAGAGTGTATATAATGAAATTTAAGAATATATTAAGTTGCTTTAAAACAATATGTATAGCTATAAAATTTGGAGTTATTTTAACTTTGAATATGTACCAAGTCTCTTTAAAGATTGGAATCTTGTGGACTTTTGTGTGCTTCTGTGTTTTACTTTTCCTACCAGGCCCTCCAGGAAACGGTTTGTTGTATGGGTAAAGAGCCACTCAGTGAAGTCCCAAGCCGGGAACGATTTCGTTTGTCCTTTCGGATTGTCGTGTTGGGTTTTGAGGGTGGGTTACAGAGCTAGGGGCATTCATCAATACTGGCATCTGTTCCATGAGCTTCTTCAAGGCGCTTCTTTTGTTGCTGCGTATTAAACTTCTTTGATATTATAGTGTGTGTGTGTGTGTGTGTGTGTGTGTGTGTGTGTGTGCTGGAGAGAGAGAGAGAGAGAGAGAGAGAGAGAGAGAGACAGAGAGATCTGGAGAGGACTCAGAATGCACTAACAACCAAACTGATAAGTTAACAAAAAATTAAAAACTCAAACTCCCTTGCCATCAAGTCAATGTCCCTATCGGATAAGGTCCAGCTGCTGACCCCTGGGAGTTTCTGAGTCTGTACCTGTTTCCGGATGTAGATAGCCCCATCTTTCTCCCCAGATCACCCGGCGATGTCAAATGCTGACCTCGCCGTTAGCAGCCCATCTCAGAACCTTCCACTATGCCACTAGGACTTCTGCTAAGTTCCCAGAGGGAACCAAAGAGCAGAACCTCAGCTACAGTGTGGAGGTTCACGGAAATTTTACCAAATCTTAGGCCACTGCATGACCTGTGCCTATCTTCTGGGAAAAGGCAGTCCAGGATATGACTCCTTGGGAATTCCCAGGGCCACGCTGGTATGGCCATGCCATCCTCCATCCTGGGGCCGGAGCAGTTGAGTGAGAGCCCCTGAAATGGAGGCCAGTTCTGCATAGCCCAGCTTGGTTGTGGCAGGGAGATGGGAGAAAGTCCTTTCATTTGCTCAGCTCATAACCTGTTCCAGGCTCTCTTTCGACACAAAGGACCAGTGGTTTCTCTGAGGATTTCATTAAGTTCATCTGGCAGTGAAGGTTGCCGTGCAGAACTATGTCTGATTGAAACCAGCCCACCTTGTTAATTTATATTTGGAAGACGAGTTTGTAACATTTAAGATTTTTTCTGGCACACACTTAAGGTGAGGCATGTGCTGCTGCGGTGACAGTACTAGGACACCAGTCTGGATCTGGGGTCAGAGGGAGGCTGCCCAGGTCCCTGTAGTGGCAGAACCCCTGCCCAGAATGTCTGCCAGGGCCTGACTGCACCTGCATACACAAGTCATGTGATTTTGTGGGCCTACAGAGCCCCGGGGATGCCACCTTCTGTGAAATGGGAGTAGGCCTGCTAGAGGAGGTTTGTGTTATATCCCCACTGATGCTCAAAACAAAACACCTTTGAAGAATCTTCCATGCTGCTCCCTAAAACTGCCCAATTCTCAGAAACCCTTGGAGCCAGGTGAAATATGGGTGTAGCTGTACACAAATTTAGGAAGTGTAGGTGTAAAGCGACTTAAATGAGTCGCCTCCCCCAACCTTCATGTGTGTTGTGTGGGCTCACCCTGACTGCTCTGGAGGCACCTGTGAGGGGGTGGTCCCCCAGGCCTCCCTTTGTACTGGAGGTTCTGAGAGGTCCAGGTGCAGCTTGGAGCCATCCCTAGGGGTCGGGGTGGGGGTGGGGGGTGAGTGACCTGACAGCAAGGAAACTTCAGGCCTGCAGCTCAGCACTCATTGTTAACTGAATAAGAGACCAGCCAGGCAGAATCTGGGTGAATCAATGTCATGTTCACGTGGAAGACGACAGACAATATCCAGCATGTTCTAAATGCGGCACTAGGACAAGGACAGGCAGCTCCCTCACGGGCCCATTCTAAACCAGTCTCTTTAACCCGTAGATTTAAACAAGACTACAGAAACCCCCGAACAAAACATCACAACCACAGAGCTGCTGAAAATCAAGCCAAGACACTGGTGTTGACCTTTAACATAGAAAAATACTATAACAAAATGAAATACAAATATATATTAGAATCTGTAAGTATTCTGTATAAAGAGATACTTTTGTGGTTAGGCTAACAGCAGGCAAAGAGAAGACCAAGTCCAGCCTTTTCCAATTCCCAACAGCACTTCCCCACCTCCGTGGGAGCCCAGCTGCCCGAAGTTCGGCTTCTGTGTCCTCACACACGTTTAGTAGAAACGGCCTGTGTCGGCATCCAAGAGCCAACTGAAGGTCTTGACCAAATGGGGCCATGCGATGTGGAGATGGTTTCGCAGCCAGCTGCCATTCGACTTCCAGTGAACCAGAAGGTGGCAGGTAACAGGAGTGATGGACGCTTCCTTAGCAACTTGCAGGTTCGTGGCCACATTGGAGGACAAGGTGGTGGTGGGCCCAAGGCTCTTAACTTGGCCTGCAGACCTAGTGTGAAGTGCTGGGACACCGGGCACTGCGGTGGGGCCGGGTGTGGTGGCAAGCTCACAAGCACATTCCTTAGGAACAAACACACCTGGGGGTAGGGGAGCAAGAAGCAATTGGCACCTGCATACAGGTGCCCTTTCCATGGTGCCTCCTGGCTGTCCGTGCCCTCAGGTCTTTGGGAGTTGCTCTCGTGGGGGGGTGGGGGTTCAGGTCTGTGTGTCACTGGGTTCCAGAACACCTTTCATTAAGGAAAGGGGTCTGTAATGTTTCTGCCCTGTTCAGCTCTATACTAGTTTCTTTCCAAGGTTCCCCCAGAGGCTCGGAGCCAGAGAGGGAGGCCCAGGCTGCAGTCCACAGGAGGACCTACACACAGGCCCCTGAGGATAGGTAGCTCTGCCCTTGGTCATAGTTACAAGAGATTAGAACCTGGCCCCATGATGAGGACCTCTTCCAGTCACAGGGCCCCAGATTTTCTCTCTGGTCGCAGAATGTTTTAGGCCCGCATTCACAGGAATGTCACCCCACATTGCGGGGACACAGGCATTGCGACGCCAACACTCAACTGCCAGATGCTTGCAGAGAGAAGGGTCAAGAAAGTCATGTATGTGGCTACCCCCTTGCCCATCAGGACTTCCCCAGAGGCACGTGCCCCATCTCCCCTCCAGCCATCTCACTAGGCTCAAAAATCACCCTTTCTATTCTGCATCTGTATTCAGTGACATCAGACACCAATTCCTTCCTTGCCAACACCTAGGGCAGCTTAGCTGGGCCTCGACTCTGGAGCCTAAGCTCCCTCCTCTCGCTTCCTAGGCATCCTGCCCACCGTGTGCCTCCTGGTCAGTTCACTTTGGCCCATAGAGGGCAGAATACCCCAAGTACCCAGTCCTGGGCGAGGCACATGAATATCTTGTAACTCATTCTCTAGGCTTCCTCCCGGATCCACAGTGGAAGGGTCTACGTATTTATTCACCCCCACCCCCCATTTTATAGCTAGGGAAGGGGAGGGTGGAATTGCCCAAAGTGGTAGAGCTACTAGAAGTGGACTAGGTTTCCTCTACCTGGACCACTGCCCCTCCTACTCCCTGCTGATCTTCAGGATACAGCACCTGAACCGAGAGTCCACCCTGGTCAGGCATCCTGCCCCCAGGCCTTCCCAGTGCCAATGGACAGCAGCTGGTGGCTGGAGCAGTTTAGCTAGTATTTGGAGCCTGGTGATGTTTATTCAGCTAGAACCAGTATCTCCCCTGCCCTCTTTGGTGGGGTCCAATCCCAATGGCAGTTTCCTTTGTATAAGGAAACTATGGTGGTCAACGCACAACATTAGGGTTCAGAAGCCTGGTCCCAAGAAGAACCTCCACAGTGTCTGACAATCGGGGACCCCCCTTCCTGACCAGCAGGAGAAGCCCTTCCTAGCCACAGACGCTGGCAGCTGAAGAAAGCCCAAGGCCAGAGTGGTTGTCTGTCGCAGGCTTTAAGCTGCTCCTGCAATGGGTGGTGGGGAGGAGGGCCAGGGACTCAGTTTCCGAAGGTCACTATGGGCCACAGACCAGAGGAGCACAGGGCAGGTGGGGAGGGGCTGGTTCATTTCTCCAGACCCAGGTAGCGGGCATGGACGGGGTGCCCCCATTCTGCACGCCTTGGCCTGACCTCACGCACACATTCAGTCAACAAATATTTATTAAGCGCCCCTTTGTGCAAGGCACTTCGGGGCAGGCAGCCCACCGCCGCGCCCACACCCCTAGCCCCAGTGCCGCCGAAGGAAGGTGGTACGGCGCTCAGCCCCCCCACCCACGTCCGGCTGGGGCTAGACACAGAGGGCGCAGCCGCACTTGGTGGGCTTCTCCACCTCCTCGGCAAAGGAGGTCCCGTCGCTGCACTCGAAGGTGAACTTCCTCCGCTTCAGCCGCAGGCCCTGGCAGCAGCCCTGGCCCGGGCACGTGCCCCGGCACTCCAGCCACGAGAGCGGGCGCATGGTCTGGCAGATGGCATAGCCCCTCTGGACCTGGTGAAAGTCTCGGACAGGGTACCCCCGGCACTCGGGCTCTGGATGGGACAGACACCGAGAGAAAGCCTCAGGGCCCCCTCCCCGCGGGCGGCGGCAGCGGCAGTCCTCCACGCTCGCAGACCCCCGCGCCCCGCAGACATGCACGTGCGCCGCGCGCTTGCTCGCCCAGCGCCAGGGGAAGGGAGCGCTTTCTGGCTGCCGGCTGGGTTCCCGACACCGGCGGGGTGCAGGAGGTGGCGGGCGGCCAGCGTCCAATGGAGCTGGAACTCGGCCTTGGAGAGGGTGTGGCCTAAGGGGACCGACCAGCCGCCTCGTCTGGATTCTTCGAGATTCCCCGTGCCGCCTGCGCATGAGGGGCTGGGTGCCAGCTGAAGTCCCTTGGTGAAGCAGGGCCAAAGGGGGTGGAGGGAAAGGACTCCCAGTCCCCCAGCTTTAGGGGCCAGGAGAGACCCCAGCCTCTAGGAAGAGAGGGTGTCCCAACAAAGGGGCCCCAGGGCAAGCTGGGTCTAGGGAGGGGTGGGACATCTGTCTGAGGGGCACAGTGTCCAGGGGGTGGCCGCACGAAAGTCCAATGGTGGCCTGGGATGAAGGAGGGGGGTCGCTGAGGTTGGGAGGAGGAAAAAGCCAAGTCGCCAAGGCAAACTCAGGGGGAGGGCGGGGGTGGACTGGAGAAGGCATGTCAGGAGGGGGGGCCCTGACCTTGCTCACACAGCTCGCCCGAAAAGCCCGGGTCACAGACACAGTGTGCTGCCTTGGTGGCCAAGGCCTGGCAGTGGCCATGCAAGCACTGCAGCCCCCCGCAGGGGTCGGCCGGAGCTCCGGCCTGGTTGCAGAGGGGCCCCGAGTACCCATCCCGGCACTGGCAGCGGTAGGAAAGCGCATCGAGGGGCACGCAGTTCCCATGGACACACCTGCAGGGGGTGGGGGAGAGGAGAGGGAGAGGGCTGTGAGGCCAGGCCCAGCCTGCCCTCCTGGCCTTTCACTCAACCAGGGGAGCAAACTGACTCCGGGAGGTTCTCCCTAAGCACCCTTTCCTGTTAATAAAGGCTGCCTGCCACCCATAAAACACACATGCAATGGACACCCTGGGTCAGGACACGTGCTCCCATTGGGGAGTTTAAAGCAACATTTTCCACTTGGCTCTTCTCCTGGGGCTGTTGAGAAGGGGTGTACAGAATGCAGCCCCCTGCTCACCCCTCTCCCCCAGTCCCCATCCAGGCTCACTTGTGACCATGGCAGGGGCCGTCAACTGGCTGGTCGCAGTGTACGCCTGCCCAGCCGGCTTCACAGTGACACACAGGCCCTGGGGTGGCATTGGGCTGGCAGATGCCGTGCAAGCAGTAGAGCTTGCGGCAGGGCTCACAGCCGGGCACCACGCCCGGTTTCATCTGGGTCTTGGTGAAGTCCTGGAGCTCGTTGTTGATGTACAGGTTCCGTATGCAGCCATGGAAGCTGGTGCCGTTGGGGATCTGCCACAGGCGGAGGGCTGCCGAGTTCACGTCCACAGGCATCCCTGGGTAGGTGGGTAGGTGGGGTGGCAGGCAGACACACACCCAGCACTGGTGTTCATTCTGACCCTAGGCCTCCTGCCTTCTCTGCACCCTGAGCCAAGGCCTTACTGCTGTCCAGGGGCCTGGCTACTTTCCCAGAAGCAGTGAGAAGGCCGCTCCCTCTGTCCACAGCTGAGGGGAGGCTTTGGATGCCCTCCCCCAGGGCAGCAGCGTTTACCAACTAGGGACCCCAAGTACACCCAAGGACCTGGGGCCTAGGACCAACGTGCATGGTACCCTCTGTCATCACCCGCTGGTGGCCGCTGGACAGCAGCCTCAGAGATACATCGATGTCTGTCGTAGGGATGCTGCCTTGAGATGGGGACCCAAGGGCCATCCATCACTCTGCCTGGAAGTGGCAGCCCACCACCACACCGAGACAAGCCCACTGTACCCGGAAGCCTGCCTTGGCTCAAAGGACAAGTGTTTGTGGGTGGTGGATGAGGTGGAGGCAGAGGGGAAGGGAAGAGTCATCTCGCTGGCAAAACCTGTACAGCCAGCCAGGGAGGTCCCCAGTTGGGGCAAGGACTCCTGTCCCCGTTCCCAAACTGGTAATGGACCCCAAACAATTGAGAAGCTCCTTCTGGCCCAATAAGAGGAGAGCTGCCCATGGAGGGAAGACAGCCAGGTCAGCCCTCGGCTGGGCCTTTGGACCAACCCAGACACCCACTCTTGGGGAGGAAAGCCACCAGAGATCTGGGTATTCATTACAACTTTCCCCCACCCCACCGCCTTGGAATTCCCCAGAGTGCAGTGCCCTGAGGACTGGCTCTCCTGACAGAGGACAAAAGCGGTCCCACCCTCAAAATGACATCACCTTCCACCAGGCCCACTCGCTCCTTACCACCCACGTAGAGCGGGGCCTCCCTGTTGAGCGTGTAGTGCTTGCCAAAATTGTCCATGGTCATGGGGCTGCCACCGTCAATGGAGAGATTCACCATCTGCTCAAAGGTGACCAGCTCGACTGTGTGGAACTGCCCATCGTTGATTGTCTCCGCACTGGAAGAAGGCAGGGAGACACCCCCACCCCACCCAGGGAAGGGGCCCCATCGTTGATTGTCTCCGCACTGGAAGAAGGCAGGGAGACACCCCCACCCCACCCAGGGAAGGGGCTTCAGTTTGGGGCGGGCTCTTCCCTAGAAAGGCCAAGTGATCCAGCAGCTGTTCCCCTGTGTGGAGTCCCCTGGGGAGAATGGAGGCATTTGGGGGTGGAGACGTCCTGGAGTGTGGTGAGGATGGGCAACTTCTCAGGCCTCAGAACCTCAGACCCAGGCAGGGGACCCCCTAGAGGGCTCCGGTAATCTTTCCACTCTCGGAGTCCAGATTCCTAGGGGCCCCAATAGCCACCTGCTTCTGGCCTTGAGACCCTGACTGGTGGGCTTTTGGGCCCGAGGACATCTGGTGGGCAGGGGGACGCCAACCTGTAGATTGCAGAGCTGGGGTAGCTGCCTGGGTCATAGCTGACACGCACGTGGCCCTGGTACAGCTCAACCGCAATGTGGTCGTTGTCCCCGTTGTACAGCAGGATCCCGTTGTCCTCTGCCGTGGACACCTGGGGGACCACAGCGCTTTCTCGGCCACCCGCCCCAACCAGCAGCAGCCCAAGGCTGGTAGGTGAGGCAGAGTGACCCAAAATTGGAAAAGAGGTGCTGTGGGCAGATGCCATGTCCCCCGCAGGCACTGACAAACCTGGGAACCCCTGTTTCACATACCACCCACTGCCAGTCTGGCCAGAGCCCATGCCAGGCAGGAAGGGCAGATGGGTCCTCGGAGAGCGGGGTGGGAGTTGTGACCTAGAAGGGAGGGGTGGGGAGGAAAGGGCAGAGTGGGCACGGGGAAGGAGAACTATGGGGGGCAGCCTTGGGAGCAGTGTGGGAACTGCAAAGGACAAGTTCAGGAAGGCTTCCTCAGCCAGAGCTGCGCGCACTGGGAAGGACCCGCTCACGAGAGAGCCTGTCCTGACACAGGACTGCGCATTGGAAGACCAAATTCTGTCTTGGAGGCCATCCTGCTAAAACCTGGAGAAGCCATGATATTTTTCCCTCTGCCTGTCTTAGCCCTTGTGCCTCCTTTCTTCTGATATAAAAAAAGGCAGCCCCTAAACTGTAGGAGTGGGCTCATCAGCCGGGTTGAAGCAATCATAGCCACCCCATCTCCCTGGATTCTGGGTGGCTCAGGGAAGGCCATGTGACTAAAGTCAGACCAGAGGGGGTCCCTGGGGGAGCATCCTATTGGAGTGGCAAGGACATTTTCCCCTTGGATAGCTGGAGTGAGGAGCCGCTCGAGGGAGGGATGGCTACGGGTTACCCGAGTTGGACTGGGCGTCCAGCTAGGGTGGCTGTGGTTGCGCTGTCTGGACAACCAGGGTTGTGAGGCAGTCGTGCAGGGAGGGAGGAGAGTGAAGTCGGCAGGCCTGTGGCTGAAGGGAGCCCAGGACAAATGTCGGAAAGGAGAGGAGAGGGATGTGGCGTTTGTGATGGGAAATGGACTTGGGGGAAAGAGAGAGATGTCTAAAGAGTTTTTAACTTTTTTTTTTTTAACTATGGGAAGTGCCATAGAAGCCACTCCCCTCGGCCACCTCAAAAAATATGAGATGTCTAGCAAAATATTGATATTAAGGTCGTGGAAGTGGGGTTTGCTTTTTTCTTTTCCTCTCCACATGAGGCTGTTCTGAGGTGGAGGGACTGGCAGTCCTGAGAAGGACAACAGACACTTGGTTGGGAATAGAAACCTGGAGATGCTAAGTGCAGCCACAGTGGGGCCCTGGGAGAAAGGCCAGGCGCAAGGGGACGGGAGGTGTGGGGGGGAAGAGGTGCGGGGATGGAAGAAGTATGTAAGATGAGGGTTTTTGGTGTGTGTGTGGGTGATAGAGGGGAGGTGTGGGGGGGGGGGGGGAGGGGGAGGGGGACTTTGGGAGCCAATGAGCTTTCCAGGTGTGACTGACGCTCCACATCCAAGTGCTTTGCCGACCAGGGCCCTGCCTGTGCTCCTGGGCAGGGTCCCCGGCCCCCCCGCACCTGCAGCGTGATGTTGGCCCGGGGCCAGTTCTGCAGGTCAGTGAACTGCAGGTAAGTGTCTCTGTCCACAAAGTTGACGCTGAGCAGCTTCTCGCACTCGGGGCCCCCAAAGCCCGGGAGGCACTGGCACACGGGCCGGCTGCCCTGGTCCACGCAGCGGGCCCCGTTCTGGCACTCGGTCCCCTCACAGGGGCTCCTAGGGGCGGCGGGGCGGGCTGGCATCTCACAGAGCTGTCCGCTGAAGGGAAGAGGGCACACATCGGAGAGGTCAGGGCGAGGGAGGCAGGGCAGCCACCTCCCACCGCCCTGGAGAACAAGTCACTAAACCTCCCCGGGAAACGGAGGAGCCTGGAGCTGACGTCGCTGCTTGAGACACTTTCCTCAGAGGAGGACACTTTCATCGGTGTCCCCGGCACCCACTGAACCCGAATCTGCTTCTTCACACATGATCCCAGGTGACCAGCAAGTTTGAGAAGCACTCACTGCGCATGCCTAACCCCTGCCAGGCAGGATCGAATACGCCCATTTCCCAGAAAAGACAAGACTTAGGATACAAGCCGACCAACACGAGTCAAATGACTAAGGTCAGAAAGGAAAGAAGGGACATGACTACCAATCTTATAGAAATAAAAAGGACTGGCAGGGACTACAAGGAGCCCGGTGGCACAGTGGTTAAAGTACTCAGCTGCTAGCTGAAAGGTCAGCAATTCGAATCTACTACCTAGCCATCCTATGGGAAAAAGATGTGGCAATCTCTTTTCATAAAGACTTCCAGAAAACCAAACTATCAAATCCATTCCGATTCACAGCAATCCTTATAGGACAGGGTAGAACTGCCCCCTGTGAGTTTCCAAGACTAAATTTTACAGGAGTGGAAAACCTTATCCTTCGCTGCAGTTTTGAACTGCTGACCTTGCATATCTCAAACACGTAACCACTACACCACCAGGGTTCTAGCCTTGGAAACCCAGTGGGGCAGTTCTACCCTGTCCTATAAGGTCACTATGAATTGGATCAATTTGATAGTGGGGGTGTCTAGTGGGCTTGGATGTGGGTCAGAGGAAGTTTGAGCAGCACACTGCCTGATCTTCAAATCCCACAAGAGTCTTTCCTTAAGCTGCCCTTTCCCACTGTGAACTGCACGTCAGCAAATTAGACAGCAAAGATGAAATGGATGAATTCCTGGAAACACAAACTACCCAAACTTACACACACACACACACACACCATTCTGAGTAGACTCATAACAAGAGATTAAATAACTTTTTTTTTAAAGCTTCAGAACCAGAAGCTTTCTATGGTGAATTCCCTCAAACATGTAAAACATTTAAACAGAAAAAGAATTGAAAAGAAACAACCAAGAAACCTCCCTGCCATCGAGTGGATGCCGACTCACAGTGATTCTACAGAGCAGGGCAGAACTGCCTCTTTATGGGAGTAGAAAGCCCCTCTTTTTCCCATTTAAAGAATAATCAATACTAATTCTTTACAAATGCTTCCAGGAAACTGAAGAGGAACAGTGCTACCTAATTCAGTCTATGAGGCCAGCATTACCTTGGCACTAAAACCAGACAACAGCACAAGGAAAGAAAACTGCAGACTGTATCCTAGTAGGAATAAAGATGCAAATGTGCTCAACAATCTACTAGCCAACCAGCCTACTGATAATAAGACCCACGACAAGGTGGGAGTCTAGGAAAAAAAGAAAAAATGACAAACCTACATGATCATCCCAGTAGATGCAGAAAAAGCGTTTGACACAATCCAACCCCTCCTCATGATACAAACTCTCAAACTAGACTAGAATTGAATTTCACCAACCAGATAAAACAGATGCCACTGTACGTAATGACTGCTTTCTCCTTAGGATGCTGAACAAGACAGATGCCCTCACCACTTCAATAGTGTTCTGAGTATACAAGCAGAGCAACTGGACAAGAAAATAAAATAAAAGGCATTGCTCTTGGAAAATAAAGACAGCTACTTCTGTTTGCAGACGATAGGCTCTTGTCTGTAGAAAATCCCCAGGCTCCCACTCCAGGCTCAGTGGGGAATCCCACTTCAACTCCCCTTCAGACAGTGGCTCTCAATGGACCCAGAGCCCAAATGTAAGATCTCAAACCTTAAAACTGTTAGAAGAAAACAGAAGGGTAAATTGTCACGAGCTGGGATTAGGCAATGGCTTCTTAGATAGGACACCAAAGCACAAGTGACAAAAAAGAAACAGATAAATCAGACTTCCTCAGAACGAAACACTGAGCGTGAGGGGACATGTTGGCAAATCATGTATCTGGTAATGGATTCTATGTTGGGCATACACAGAACTAAGAGCTCAATAATAAAAAGTCCAGTAACTGAATTTAAATGGGAAAGGATCTGAAGCTATTTCTCTAAAGAAGATCTACAAGTAACCAACTGCATCTGAAAAGATGCTCAACAAGTAGCCTTTTGGGAATTTGTCCATCAGAATCATTTAAAAAGCCTCACATCATACCCACTGGGGTGGCTGTAATAAAAATGACAACACTAACAAGTGTTGGTCAGAAGGTACAGAAATTGTTGGTGGGGATGTAAAACGGTTACCATACTTTAATAAACAGCCTGGCAGTCCCTCAAAGAATTAAACACCAAAATAGTATGGCCCAACAAGTCCACACCTAGGTAGATACCCAAGAGATTTGAAAAGATCACATTAAACACACACAACACACCTGTCCATAAATGTTCATAGAAGCCTTACTCACGGTAGCCTAATGTTAAACAATCCGGATGGATAACAAAAGTATGATACATCCATACACTGGAATATTATCCAGCATGAAGTACAAATGCATGCTCTAACATGGCTGAATCTCGGAAATCCTGTGTAAAGTGAGAGGCCGGTCACAAGCACCGCAGGATTGTCTTTGGGGTGATCTGTGAAATGTTCTAAAGTGGACTGTAGTCATGGCTATCATTAGACTGGACGTGGGTGAGTTCCGTGGCTGGTGGGTCCCATCTCAATAGAGGTGACTGTTTATCGAAAAGCATAAGCAGACCAGGGGGAGCAAATGAATCAGCAAGAGGGCAGGTGTCAAGAGGGGAGGAGCCACGATGGGGATGTGGTGAACGACTCCTGGTGGGCTCAAGGCAGCCACAGAGGTTCCGTTGCACTGGGAAGAGATGCGTGTTTGCTCAGTCATCTGTCCCCACCTCCCACCCCTCCACCAAACAGAAAAGAGACCCTCTGCCAAGTAACTTCTCCAAGGCCACGCAGCTGGTGGCGTTGGCTGTGTTCTGGCCCATGACCACCCCGTGGGGCAGGACAGGACAGAACTGCCAGGGCCATTTCCAAGGCTGCCGCCTGGACAGAAGAAAGCACCTGGGCTTTTCTCCCATGGGCCCGCTGGGGGGGTGGGGGTGGGTTGGACCACAGACCTTTGTGGGTTCAGACAAGCCACGGCATCACCGAGCTCCTCGTGCTTGGCCTAGCCATGAGGAAGACCCATCGCTAGTAAACCTTGGCATCGCCACAGCCCAGTGTGGGCATCCGGGCTCCACGCACCTGTAGCCCTTGGCACAGAGGCAAGAGTAGGTGTCGACTCCGTCCACACACTGGGCCCCATTCTGGCAGCGGTGGTCCCCACAGTCATCTCGGTTCTCACTGCAGTTGTCGCCTGTGTAACCTGGCGGGCACTCACACCTGGGGGTGGGCAGGGTAGGTGGGTGACGGCCAGGAGAATGTTCCAAGACCCAGGGCCCATACCACGGGGTGGGGGTGGGGGAGGGTAGCTGTGCATGTGGCAGAGAAGCTCCGTGCCCAGTGAGTCTGTGGGCACCCCTGGAGGGCAAGCAGCGTCCTAGATCAAATGCTCCCAGAGCCCGTGCTGGGGTGCATGGGGGACTATGTAAGCTTGGGGTGGTACCCTGGGCTGAGAAGGGGATCCCCATTAACCACTACAGCAAATCCAAGGCCAATCTTCAGCCCTTCCTGGCCTGCCACTGCTCCCTCCTCTCTCCCCCACGGCCCCCACCCCCAGTGGGGTTGATCCTTGCTCTGAGGAGCACATGGATGCCAGGACAGCACCCAGCTCCCTGCTCTCCCTCCTCTCCCCAGAGTCCACCTTGGCCCATCATAACCTATCACATAAGGGGTCCACTCGACCACCCTGGCTTCAGGAATCCCATCCTGCAAGGACTCCCCCATGTTCAGCCCTCACCCCATCCCTCCCTGCCCCAGCAGCCTCCCCTGTGGTCTGATGAGTCCCCACTGGCAGCCAGGGTTAAAAGCAAAAACGGGGGCTGAGGCGAGCCCGTGTGTCAGCATGGAGCACACAGGGCGCCGGTGGCTGAGTGTGCACTCGTGGACTGCCAGGGCTTTCTTCTGAGGTGTCCGGGCAGACTCAAACTGCTAGCCAAGATTGTGTGCACCTCCCAGCTCGTTCTGGGAAAGGTGAGTAAGAGGGTGCATCTGATGTATGCAGGTGACGCGCCGCTGGGCTCTGGAGCGGCCCCATCATCAAACATGTCCCCATGTCTTCAGCAAACCCCACAGCAGGGCTATGTAAAAGCATCATCTCCTGTGTCCGTGCGGGTCAGCTGTCACCTTCCGCCGTCCAGTGGGCTTTTGGCTTTCAGAGCTTTGTGGATCTTGTACTTGGTGGTGAAGTAGGATGGTAGCTCTTTCGGGAACACTTACTAGGTATCAAACCAGGCAAAATGCAGCCCGCACCCCTTTCCATCTAATCCTTGTCATTGCCCGGAGGAAGTGATCTTTGTACCCAGTTTACAGATGAGAAAACCAAGCCTCTGAGAGGTCAAATGACTCATCACACACACACACACACACACACTCTCCTGCCCCCATACGCTGCACCGAGTGGCAGGATTCCTGCACCACTGCGATAGCACCCCCTGGCAGGGAGGAGGTGGACTGCACTCTGCCCCGGCCACTGTGCTCGGTCCCTGGCCTGGGGAACAGGCAGCACTGACCTGGGCCCATCTGGGGTGCCCACGCACCGGGCCTCATGCTGACACGGGTTCAAATCCGGGGAGCAGAAGTCCACCAGCTGCTCACAGGCCTCTCCTGGGGGAGAAGAACGTGTGAGAGGCAGGAGAGAAGCCGTCCTCTGTCGGCCAGGCAGCCAGCCAGCTAGCAGAAACTTCCTCATTCACTGGGGCAGGGGCCCAGCCTGACCCTCCACCCCACCACGCTTACCCGCATACTGCAAGGGGCACTGGCAGGTATAGTTGCCCACGCCGTCCACACAGACGCCCCCGTTGGCACATGCGTGCTCCACACAGTCATCTGTGTTCGTCCCACAGGTTGGCCCCTCAAAACCAGTGGGGCAGGAGCATCTGCCGGGGGGGAGGAGGGAAAGGCAGGTGGCCCCACCGTCAGGTGACAGCCTTACCCAAGCCCCACTGTCACTACCACTTGTCCTCAAGTTATGGGCCCACTCTAGGCCTGGCCCTTGGCTGGGAGCTTACAGGTGCACGGGGCGGCCTATCTCAACCTTGTGCGGGAAGGGGTGGCTTCCAACTGGAATCAACAGTGACTGGGGAGCAGGGGCAAAGGGAGAGAGGCCACCTGGGTGGGGAGTGGCCCCGGCAGGCATGTGGGAAAGGTGCTGAGTTCACCAGGGACCCTGACGTGGGGAGAGGGAAGAGTCTGGAAGGTATATGGAAAGAGCTGTGTACAAAACCCAACTTGCAGCCCTCAGGGAGGAGCTGTGTACCTCGGTGGGGAAGAGGAGCCGGGGGGAGCAGGGCCCTGGGCACCCACCAGTGTATGCTTCCTCTGGGCTCCTGGACTTTTCCAAGGGACATGTGGGTTATGGAGAAAATTCACTGCCATCGAGTGCATTCCAATTCCCAGTGACCCTATGGGGCAGGATAGAACTGGCCCCTGTCAGTTTCCAAGACTGTCACTCTTGGTGGGAATAGAAAGCCTCCTCTTTCTTCAGAGGAGCATCTGGTGGCTTCAAACTGCTGACCTTGCGGTTACCAGCCCCAGGTCTGCGTAACCCAACCACCATGCCACCAGGGCTCCGCAGGAGAAGGAAAACAACATCGTCTTCCTGTCTCACCAAGTCCGATGAAATATAACCTGTATGGGTCTTCACCCGTCAGACGTTGCGACACAGTTATGTTGCCCAATCAGCTCCGTCGCCGTGGTGAGAGCTCGATGCAGTTTATTAGGGATCACCCACGAGCAATCGGGGGCCCAGTGCTTTTGAGCTTATAACACTCCTGTGTTGGTGGCAGAGAAACCTACCAGGGTGCTGCAGAACAGACCCATGGGGCCTTTTAAAGATGGGGTGGGTAGATGAGGATGGAAAGACCAGTTTGAGGAGGAAAAAGAAAGCGAACATGTCCCCTGCTGGGGCAGCTTGTTCGGGGGAATTGTAAAGCAGTATCACACCGTTAGGCTACCTAGAACCCACTAGAGCCATTTTAAAGATAACTTTTGTTTATTTATTTCGTTTTGAGGACTTTTCTTTTTCAATGTTAACAGTATTGGCACCTAACTGGACATTATCCCCCCTAGCAATGAGAAGCTAACTTGTCAAGGCAAATGTCAGCTGTCAATCTGAAATTCTGGGAGAGGCTTTGTCGTCATTTATTGTATTGTTGTTGTTGCTTTAATGCTGGGGGTACGTGAGCAGAAAGGTTTGAGGGGTGGCTGTTTGCACGGTGTGTCCCCCTGAAGGCAGTGGGGTAGTAGCATAGGGCTCTTAGCGTGGGTGAGGGATCAGCTTTGCATTTCAGAAAGTCCCCTATAGCTGGTCTTGGGAGCAGCCTGGTCAGGGACCCCAGGGAGGTGGGGGCAGCGAGGATGGGGGATGGTGAGCTATCCCCACGGGGCTCCCAGGAGCTGGTCCCCAGCCTCTCCCTCCCTCTCTGCAGTGACTCTGCTCCACCCATGCTCTGCCCCAACTCCTCACCCACGAGCTGCAGGCTACTCTGTGGCTGGTCCCTGGGGAGACAGACAGGTCTCCCTGAGGCCCGCTGAGTGCTCAACCAGGCTCTGTTGCTCCCCTCCCCCACAGGGACCCACCTTCCTCCCCTATAAGGTGGAAGGAGACAGCACAGATGGGTTCTAGAAGGTTCCTGCCCTGTCCTCTGACGGTGACACCCATCTTTTAAGGGACGGACCCCTCTACCACAACATCCACCTGGCCTGCCCTCAAAACCCCAGAACCAAACTCATTACCATCCAGGGACTCTATAGGGTAGGGGAGAACTGCTCTTGTGGGTTTCTGAGACTAACTCTTCATGGCTGCAGAAAGCCTCCTCCTCCTCCCCAGGAGTGGCTGGTGGTTTGGAACTGCTGACCTTGTGGATTTCGGCCCAACAGTAATTCCTCTGCGGCTGCCGCACTGCTCCCCCTCCCAGGTACGGCTGAGAACTCACCAGGTTCCTCCACCTCACCTTCACACTCACCTACCTTCCATCCCTCTCCCTGACCTGCCACCACCAAGGGTCACACCTCAAGGTTGAAGCAGAACTCCTGGATGCACCCCTCAGACTCCACACCCCCAAACTGTGTCCCTCTGCCCGGCAGGGGACCTTTCTGGGGAGTGTTCCCTAAGCCCCCTGAGGAGTCTAAGGATGGGGAGGGGCAGCGCTGAAGAAGCCACTCACAATGCCCACAGGCGGCTGAGCCCCCGGGAAGGACGCCGTTTCCATGGTGACGGCGGAAACTGGCATGGGGAGGCCTGTTAGCGCTGTCTTTGTACGTCTGGGTAATTTGGGTTCCCAGAGGCCGGCTTTGGCCATTTCTGCTAGGAAATTCAACATCATTTTCTGAAGGACCAATTTGCTCCCTCCCTGCTGGCAATCTGTCAGCCCTCGCTACACGGTATGCCCCAGCAAACTCCGGGCGGGCACAGCTTTGGCCGGGGGCTCCCTGGGCGCAGGGCGGCGGCAGGCCGCGGGGAGCATAGCAAGGGAGCACAAGAGGGGCGGACGAGGTAAGATCCGTGGCCCTTTGGCTCCAGCGACCAAGGTGACTCATTGGATGAGTGATCAGGACCTTGCCCCCAGCTCTGGGGGCTCACACAGCAGCGGGCAGGTCATACTTGGTCTCGGGGCCTGGGGGGGGTTGCTGCTGGGCAGCGCTGGCTTCCTAATGCTTTCATTGGCGGCTCTGAGGGGGGTCCTGGAGACCCCCTTGGCCCTGCCACAGCATTTCCTCGCCACCCGGATGGGTTCGCAGCACCATTGGGAGGGGCCCCTGGTGCCTGGCAGGGAAGGAAGAGGGGACCAGGAGTCCACAGAGAAGGCTCCAAGTCTGACCGACTCGGGCTGCTGTGCCGCCTTCCACTGGCAGCTGGGGGGGTGCTTGGTGGGCAGGGAGGGCCCCCTGCCTGGCACTTACTCACTCCGCGGAGCAGAGCGGCCCCGTCAGAGGCGTAGGGCACGGAGGTTTGCCTGCAGGACCCCCATCCACCAGCCCCTTGGCCAGCAGGTGCTCGGCCCTCCTAGGAACTCACGTGAAGCCGGCGTCGTCCTCCCGTGGCAGGCAGGTTCCATGGTTCTCACAGGGGCCACTGGCGCAGCCATCCGGGGACACCTCGCAGTCTTGGCCCTGGGGTGCAGGGGCAGTGGTGGGAACCCAGGATTAAGAGAGCCGGCAGAGACAGAGACACCACCCACCTTCCCAGGGAACAGCCATCCCTTTACTCATTCCTACGCGAGGTCCCTGATTCACACCCACTGCAATGGGCAGTGGGGACAGGGCAGGCAAGACAGACCCACTCCGCCCCGCCTGCCCCACAGGACACCGGAAAGGCCCCTCCACTCACCTTATAACCACCGGGACAGGTACATGTGTACCCCTCCAGGGGGTCATTGTGGCAGGTGCCTTGGTTCTGGCAAGGGCTGGACAAGCAGGGGTCACACTTGGCCTGGATGGCCAGAGCTGGGGGACCTGTAGCAAGGGTGAGGGCATGAGTGCGGGTGGGGGCAGAGGACCCATTGAGCACGGTAAGTACGGGCTTCCCTGTGCTGACTGACTGACCCGATGTGACCATGTTTACCGCAGTCCAGTAAGTAAGCACAAGGAAGTCCATGCTGGCTTCCCTGACCGAGTCCTCCCTCGCTGTCAGGAAGGGGACATTTGAAAAGAGGCCCCACTCTGGCAGGAGCTGCTGTGGGCCAGGGAGAGAGACTGATGCCAACCTGACCCAAAAGCAGAATCTTTGATATGGGCTCGGTATGGAGGACAATGAAAGGGTTTGCCTTTGGGGGAGCCTGCCGCTATGTGGAGGGGGGGG